AATTGAAGAAGATCAGAAACTGTCTTTGGCTGATACAATCCATAAAGACTCATTAAGGTTTGAGGGGATGAAGCCAGCATTGACTCAAAATGCAACAGTATTTTTCAGTTAAACATCAGCATTTGAACTCTCATAAACATGACTTGCTTTTGTGTGTTTCAGATGTAAACAGGTCTGTATATGGCTTATTTTATATCTTGTCCAAATTAAAGGACAAAAGTCATTCCTGTAATTTTTGATCGATATGTTTCACTATTGTATAAGATGAATTCATCAATTTTCATCTTTCTATGATGATGCCAATACAATTCGGCAGGTTGAAAGAATACTACTTCATTTCTTCTAGGAAGTGGGCAATCATAGCTTTACATGATTTGTAGGTGAACAAATATGAAGTAAAGGAGATGTCACGCCATCAGAAGCAACAAAAAAGAAGAATATTATAACAAGTTCTGGAAGACAAGTACATTGGCTACATTACAAAACATACTTTAGATATTAAAGCACTATTTTTTACATATCATATGAAATAAATTTCTTATGATCTGGAGGGTGCCTTTGTCTTGTCCATAAAAAAATAAACAAAAATTAATTATAGTTTAAAAAATAATTATTATAATTATCATTAATTCACTCATTGTAAACAAAAGAAAAATGACCTCACTTTTTTCTTCTGCACCCACGGTTATGTGGCATTCTCACTATCAAACGGACAGGTCGTTAACACATGCATCAATGAAAATTTCATCTCCTTTACATTTTTCAGGCCATAATAGTAAAGTTTATCTTTTAGCACTCAAACAAAAATTTGAGGTAAGAAAGCCTAAAACACTTTTTTGTATTTTATAACTAAATCATCTTACAATATGAAAATAATTCTTGGCTATAAATTACCTGTGAAATGTTGATGCGCTGGAATAAACAAATCAAATTTAAGCTTATTCATTGCTTATGTGCGCCATCCATATTGTAGAAATAAAAAAATGTGAACAAAGGGAAAAACTTATGAATACATGGTTTACTCAGTATGTTAATATTTCAGGCTGCATGACAGGGGTTGGGGTATTGTTTAACAAATGCCACTGGCTGGCTAGTTATAAGTGGAATAAAATTGTTCCTCACTGAGTGTTCTAGTGTTAGGTCTTTGTCAGACAAAGAGTAATTTAGTAAATAATGCCCTGTTCATATGTATATATTTTTTTAAATCTGTATCATTCCATGCAAGGCAGTAAAGCCACTAAGACACAAGGGATTACAGGGCGTGGAAGAACTAGAAGCAGAAACATTAATAATGAACTGAAAGAGTATTCAGAAGGACAGTAGATAGTGATTGACATTGCATTGAAATTTTTGCAGATTAAAGTTGGATGGAAAGCATGAAGCTGGAAGTGATTACTACAAGTGAAAAGTGTAAGGAAATAAAATGCTAGCATAGAATTTACGGTTACGTCTAACCTGCTCAACTGTAAATTAATGAGAACTTGACACCAGTTTAGTACTATGCTTAAATTCAAAACATCTAGGTACTATAGCAAAGTGCTCATCCAAACAAATGCTATCTAAGTAGTTATAGAAAAGGCAGAGAGAGGCAACTTTATGGCAGTGGGAAAGATGCTAGATCAGAATATTGCTGATTTTTCTTTGGATCTTCAAAGTTTTGCCACTCAAGGCTATATATATTTTTAATGTTCTCATACCTGTATCAGGTTTTTTTAAATAATTTTCTTTTTTTATTGGTTCCACCCCATGCAAGGCACTAATGGGTTTCTGGGCATGGAAGAAACTTTAGTAATGAGCAAAAAGAGTTATCAAGGGGGCAGTAGTGAACAAATTACATTGCATTTAAATTTTTGCAGATTAAACTTGGTTGGAAAGCATGGAGCAGGAATGGAGTTCCACAAGCAAGAAGTGCGAGAAAAGAAACTGTTAGCATAGAAATTAGGGTTACATATATCCAGCTCAACTATAAACTGATGAGATCTTGACATCAATCTGGTACTGTGCTTAAATTCAAAAAATTTTGGTACCATAGTGAAAGGCTCAATCGAATAATTACCATGAAAGTATTTAAAGAAAAGGCAAACCTATGTCAGTAGGAAAGTAATTGAAGCCAAGCTGCTAGGTTAAGACCAATAATATTGCTGATTCTTCTTTGGATCTTATCAAGGAACTCAATGTAAATAGCAGGGCCACCGGATCAAATGTGGTAACTGTTGAGATGTTGAGTGTTTCCGCGTGCGTGTATTGAAATAAGGACAAACACGTACATAGGGAAAAATACTGGTATATCTGAAGAGGTATTTACAACAGAGAGATTAGTAGTCAAACGAACGCAGGTTAGTCAGTAACAATCAGAAAGAGTATAAAGTCCAACTGTATCTTCCGGTAGAGAGACGGAAGTGTGATGGTCACCTGATCTCCCAGAACTCTATAGAACTGTCCTATTAGTAGTAGAGAGATCAGTCCATTCTGATGAGAAGGTGGGTGGCCCCTACAGTAACGATATTCTAAGCATGGAGGAATGGTAGAGAGAAAAATTGTATTACATGACACAGTAAAGCAAATTCCTTAGCATCTGACCTAGCAGTGGATTCAATATAGTCCTTCTCTTTCATGTCAGCTGAGAATGCTAGCCCATTTGGCAAAAGCCGTTACTTGACTAAACTAGAAGAAGCACTGTCCAAGATGGGTGCTACAAATTGGAGATATCCACAAATTTCATTAAAACCAAAGAAAAGAGTGCTTAACAGCTATGTAATATCTATCATCATCTGTGTCAGTGAATGCTGAAGAAGAGGCTTGAGGCAATGTGATTCTCCTGAAGTATGTTGAAAATACCTTGGAAGGAACATGTGACCAACATGGAAATTTTTAGGAAAATAGGGACAGAAATGACACTTGCTAAAATCAGGTTGAAACAAGAGAATATATTGAAGGGAAGAGGAAAAAAATGAAGTAACCTGCTTAATAAGAGTATGTAAACGGTTGTAAGACCAGGGAGAGATAGTAAGGGGATAAAAATTGCTTAAAACTACAACTGATAGGAAGTCGTGGAGAGCCATGATCACCCACATCTTGATGTGACAGAGTACATAAAAAGAGAAGAATCAAGGAATCGCAATTACAGGGGGGGGGGTGCTATATACTGAAATAATTTTTTTTCTTAAAATATTTGCATATTGAAAAAATAAATTTGTTTATGTATAAGTAGAATTAAATAATTTCCCTCCAAAGAAACTCAATCATGGAGACGACATGTTTTCTTGCTCTTCTATTTTCTGGTATAACTGAGACTTGGTGAATCATCTATAGTGATTCATAACATTTCAGTTCATTCCTTTCTCTCTTGTAGAAAACAATATTCTTGTATATGGGGGATCATGGTTCTCCACAACCTCCTGTGTTTTGTAGCTCTCAGTCAAGTTTCTCTTATTGCTATTTCTCCTAATGTCAACCATTTACACAAGCTCAGTAGGTGGATTATGTGTTACTTAACTCTGTCTTGCCTTCTATATGTCCTGTGGGTGTTAAATTTCCTAAGCCTTCTTTCTTCTTTATGAATCCTAGAATTTTCAACTCCCTCTTTCTGATGTTAGGTATAAGTGTCCTTTTTGTTTCCCTAGAACTTGGCAAATTAAAATATATTAAATAGATTTGAAAAAAAAGGAAATGATTGTAATATGATAATTCAGTTAAAACATTTCAGGTAAATAATGTAATAATATAAAGTATTGATAAGAAACCAGTTTACCAAGCATGTTAAAAGAAATATCTATCTATCTATATATATATATATATATATATATATATATATATATATATATTTACAATGGCAGAGTGAAAATCTTTTGACTTGATCCACTTCTAAGAATCACTCAAACAGAATTTTATGAGAAATTCTTTGACTGGTCAGACTGAGAATTTTTCAGTGTTCCCTGATGTTCTTGCATGCACATACTTATATAAACAATTTTATTGATACATGAACATACGCATATGTATGTATGAATGAATATATATATATATATATATATATATATATATATATATATAATGTGTGTGTGTGTGTGTGTGCATATATGTTCATAAAGTTTGCATGAAACCTCATATAAAGTGATGCCATTGTATGTACCTTGAGATATCTGTAGTCAAACCTACAAGAATATGTATGTACACACTTATATATATATATATATATATATACACACACACACACACACCTGTATGCAAACTTATTTATATATGTACATATGTTGTTTTATATATATATATATATATATATATGTGTGTGTGTTTCTTTTTGTATATTTGTATGTATATGCAAGTATATATACTTTGTCATGTATTTATATACAGTTAATTTTATACCAGTTTATTATATATATATATATATATATATATATATATATATACTTTTATATGTTTATATATATATATATATATATATATATATATATATAAAACAAAAAATACATAAGTGAATCTGCAAGAGTTTCTTGAACTGACTTAAATCAATAATGTTAAATGCAAGTGAGATGGAATGAGTAGGTGAAAGAGGGTTAGATAAAGAGATGCATGCATTTGTAAGTCTTCATGGATCTTCAGTGTTTGTGTATCAAGGTGTGTTTGCATGGGAAAGTGACATAGCTGGGAGAGTGGAGGAAGAAAAGAGTGAAAGGTGGAGGGAAGAATAGGATTGAAAGAGAAAAGAATGAAATGAAAGGAGGTAAAAAAAATAAAGGTTAAAAAAAGAGAATAGATTGAAAAGGAGTTGCAGGATGTGTAAATGATGTGTATGAGAGGAAAAGAAAAAGACAGAGGATATGAAGGAGATTGAGATGATTGTGGAGGATTATCTGTGTGTGTGTGTGTGTGAAGAAGGATAAAAGAACAACAAAATGGGAGGAGATCAAGAACTAAAAGAGAATGAAGAAATTTTTTTCAAAAATGAGATACAATAGGAATGTAAATAGAAATGGCAAAGAAAATCCAAGAAGAATCTAATAAGGGTAGTCAAAAGAAGAGGAAGCAGTGAAGCAAGAAGAAAACCAAGGAGGAAGAAGAAGATAATAAAGTAGAAGCATGAGAAAAAGAAGAGGCAAAAGAAGTAGAAGATACATTAGGAGGGATATTAGTAGTAAAAAGGAAGAAAAAAGACAAAATATCAAGAGCAGAAAAAAGAAGAAGAGGCTGGCAAAATCAATAGAAGCTGAAAAAGTGGAAGGAAAATAGAATCAAAAGAAAAAATACGAAAAGAATGAGAAGAAACACAGGAAGAAAAAATCAAAAACAAGGAGCAGAAGGAAAAGAAGAAAAAACATAAAAAGAATGAGGAGAAGAAAAAGAGAAAGAAAAAACATAAAAAGAATGAGGAGAAGAAAAAGAGAAAGAAAAAACATAAAAAGAATGAGGAGAAGAAAAAGAGAAAGAAAAAACATAAAAAGAATGAGGAGAAGAAAAAGAGAAAGAAAAAACATAAAAAGAATGAGAAAAAGAGGAAAAAAGAATAAAAAGAAAGGGAAAAAGCATAAAAAGAATAAGAGGAAGAAAAAACATAAAAAGAATGAGGAGAAGAAAAAGAGGAAGAAAAGGCATAAAAAGACTGAGGAAAAAAGAATAAAAAGAAAGGGAAAAAGCATAAAAAGAATAAGAGGAAGAAAAAAGCACAAAAAGAATGAGAAGAAAAAAAGAAAGAAAAAAGGCATAAAAAGAATGAGAAGGAAAAGAAGAAAAAAAGCATAAAAAGTATGAGAAAGAAAAGAGGAAGAAAAAGCATACAAAGAATCTGAGAAAGAGGAAAAAAGTATAAAAAGATTGTGATGAAAAAGATGAAGAAAAAAGGCCTACAAAGAATCAGTATAAGGATAGGATGAAAGCATAGAAGCAAAAGAAAGCAAACCAAGATAAAAGAAGTAAAAGTAAAACCAGAAGGAAAAAAGAAAGAAAGAAGCTCAAGAACCGGAAGAAGAAATAGTTTGGTAAGTGAAAGTGAACAATCTCTTTCTATTTTGGTACTGGAATATTTACATGACAACAAAGCCTCATGTTCACTGGATGCTTAGCTTCACTGGAGAATGACACCATAAATAGTGATCATCAGTTTTGCTACTTGTTACTCAATTACAGATTCAACATAAATTTAATGGAAAAAATTAATTGAAATTAGGTTTCCAATTATTAGTTTAAATATTTTCATTATAACACAGGTTTATTAAAACCTCTATCCCATTATGTTTTAATGTAATCTCCATTTAGGTTATAGGTGATCATGTCTTCCCACAGATTCTTTGATTTATCATCTGTGAACTGAGATGACATTTTGGGAAAGATAGTCGGGTTGTTTCTCCATAGCTTGAATTTAGAGTGATATTTCTACAAGACCATCTTCTACCCAAGCTATAGATCATAGTCTACCCTACTATATATGCATACCAAGGGTGGGAGAAAATAATTCATGCCTTTCATAAGGGCTTTAGTGTGAAAATAGCAGCAGTAGAGTAAGCATAGATTTGAACTTGTTTCGCTCGTTGCATTTAGTATATGGAAATCTAATAACCATTATGGCACTGAAGTAAAATTATTTTTCAGTCTCTCTTTAAAATAGTCTTGTGTGGCTTCATTGCAAAATTTTGACATCTTAATATTTAATATTTCGCACATGAAATTAAACTCAGTAAGAAGCACCCTTACAAACAATAAAGGAAGTAATAACAATTAATCATTTTGATTTTTGTCAGAATTTTTGAGAGGAATAGTTATTGTTATTACATGTGTTTTTTTTGTTATTCAGACCAGTATACTCATCTTCATTGTTATCTCCCTTGAATGTTTCATCTTAAAGCTATATCACATTGAAACACTGGTCAGTATCTAGATGGGTGACTGCTTAGGAATACCATGTGCTCTAAGCTTGGATGTGTGGGTGGTGTAATGGATAACATCTTGGAATTGGAACTCAATCAACTGGGTTCATTATATTCACTTACACGCAAATACTTTTGTAAAATATATGAATCCACCTCTTCTCCCCCCAGCTATGGGGTAATTAGTATGTCTTCTATTGGTAAATCATTATTATCTCTAAAAATTGTTACTATCTGAAAATATTTTCTGACTTTAATTAACTTGCAAAAAGTTTAAGGAAAAACAAATGAATCATAATATGAAACACTTCAATGTTTTAGCTGTTGTACTTCCTAGCCTAAGTCAAAGTATCTTTCTTTGTACTTGGTATCCTACTGAAATTCCAAACCAAACCCTGCATTCATCTTGCTTGTCCATTTCTTTTACTAAATGTAAGTATGAGACTATCAACAAGCACTATCAGATCACAAGGCATGAACTCGCATATTAGGTTCCTTAGCAGTTGGGAATTCAATCACTGGTTCCAGTAGTGTTGTAAAATTATACTCTAGTTCACTAGAAGAAAGAAACTATTTTACAGTAAGGTATCTCTCTTTTTGTCTCCAGACATATATATATATATATATATATATATATATATATATATAAAAGTGGACACGGAGGTCAATACACAGTGGTGACATTTTGTTTTGATAGTTTATAAGTGTAATGAAAGTTAGTTAAATATAAAATTACATTTTGATGGCATTTGTAAACTTCTGTGTGCCCTGTCTTTTCAGGATGTTGGCAATTATGAGTCTCCACAATTTCCTGTCATTTGTAGCTTTGTATATCTCCCAAATCTTTTTCTGCCATTTATTTACTCAAGCTTGCCAGATAAGTTTTGCATTGTTTTCCTCTGTTCCTTTTGCCTTCAATTTGTTCTGTGAGTATTAAATTTTCTAAGCCCACTTTTCTCATTATGTGTCCTAGAAATTTCAACTGTCTCCCCCTGACGTTTAAGTATGAATGTTCTTTTTGTTTCCATTTTCTTTAAAACTTTGTCATTGCTAGTCCATGGTATTCTCAGCAACCTTCTCTAGAACACCATTTTTGTTACTTCAAGTTTCTTCTTCATCTGTGCAGTGATTGTACAGCATTCACTGACATGTTGCAGGACTGATATCAAGTAAGAGTTCAATACTCTTATTTTTGTTTCACATGAAATTACTTTCATAGAAAAGAAATTTGAATAATTTTTCTATCTCATTCATAAACTTATGAGAACACAAAATAATATTAAACTAAATTCATATAAAATTGTGTATAACTATCTCAGTCTGTTCTTATCAATCATCACACTCCCAGATAAATAATCTCATGAACACACACACACTTCACATAGTGAAATATGTACACATATTTTAAAGCATTTTTAAAAGATAATATATGTCTAAGTGTATACAAATGAATAAGGTTGATAAACATTATCAGACATATTAAAAAGCTGTCTATAACAAAACAGTGGTGGTAACAAAAGACATATCTTACCATAAAATGATAATATGAAAAGACAGAGTTTGATGGATAAATTGTTGTCTAAATTATGCAAAAATGAAAATAGCACTAACACCTCTTTTAACAGATACCTTTATGCAAATTACACAAAAATATTTTAAAATACTAAATATATAAATTCATTAAATAAAACTGCAATTCAACCATCGCCTTCAGACAACTTTGGAATCTCCTGCATCTCTTCTGGATCGTTTTCTTGTTTAAGATGATAAATACTGGCAAAATTCTCACCTTCAGTTTATCTTTGGTGTTACAAGGAGTTTTGTTGGTCTTTCACTCAATGGTGCCAAACACATAATAATTAAGGGGGTTGCAGTCTGGGGAGTTAGGTGGCCTGATGTAAGGGGTGATAAGGTTACAGAAATTGTCTGACAGCTATGACTCGGGTCTCCTGCTTGTGTGGCATGGTGTAGAGTCCTGTTACCAGACATCATCTTCCAGTAGCCACCCACTTGACCCAGGGCAGCACTACCTATTCAAGGCATTTGATATAGGCCTCTGAGTTGAATCAGAAGCCCTGTGGGGAAAATGAATGGAGGCATAATGTTGCCATAACTAGTGATCCCTCCAACCACCATAGTGATGACTTGGTATATCATCTGACCCTTCCCAAAACATCTGCATTGTTCCTAAATTGACATCCAAACACTCTGAAATGTTTGTATCGGAGTTTCTGATGCAAATGTGAAGCAGTACAGTATACCATTTCAAAATTTCTGGTGAAGTGAATTGTGTCATGGTTTTATTTTTTTACAGACAGTGCCCAACTGACCTTACTATACTTTTTTTTTTTTCTTTTTTTTTTTTAAGCGTTTCACCCCAAGCAAGGTGGGAAACCACTAGGATGCAAGGGGTTACAGAAAATTTAAAGCAAGATCAGATAGGAGTGATAGAGGAAAGGATGAGGAGAAGGGTAGTGGGTAGATCAAGGCAGCTGGAGATGTCGATTGACATTACATTTGAATAGCTGGAGATTATAGCTCTCAGGGAAACTGGAATAGGGAAGGGAGTTCCACAGGCGAGAGGTGCGAGACATGAAGCTATTAGAGTAGAAGAGATGGCTACATTTAGGAGTTTCGACAGTGAAGAGGTGAGAGCGGGATGCCAGCCTCATAGGGCGCTTGAACTCATGAAGTCTGGGAACCAGCGAATGCAGCTCCTCGGAGCAATTGCCATGAAAGTATTTGTAAAACAGACAGAGAGAGGCGTACAGTTGATAAAAGTAAACAACACACGTGTGAAACTAAAAATATAAAATGGCGACAATTTGCCTATTGCATCCTGTATGACAATGATAAAAAGCAGCTAAAATCATAATTGGACTTCCTTATAAGAGCAAAAATTGTACACAAAGGCTAATATATATATATATATATATATATATATATATATACACACACAAACCCCAGACAAAAGGGCATCTCTCTATGTACATACATATACACACACACACATATAACCAGTCTTCAGAACACTTTGTCTGAGTGTCACTTAAATGCTGTGTCTCCACTATTGAACATTATTGCACCATAAATATAACTTAAATTCCCCAAGGACTTGTAATTATAACTAATATAAACATTAAGCCCTACAAAAATCACTTTCTTTAAATTTCTTGAAAATTAAGTGGGAGCAGGGTTTACAGATGAAGTAAAAAAAAAAAACCAATTTTTATCAACAGTTTCTAAAAAAAATTTTAATATTGGTTCATTTGTGAATAAATCTTGATAGTTTCATTAAAATCTCAAAATTATTTGATTTTTGAACAAATTTCTAGTGAATAATTTTCATCGCAAAAACATATATGAAAATTACCCATACTAATTTATGGTCATCTGTTGACACAACAAAAGCATAATTTTTAACAAAAATTTTGAAGTTCCTTAAAAATAAACTTTAATAATAAAAATTCATTTAGTCTTTCCTCTTAATAACAACAATAAAGATTTTAATGATAACACTGTTTTTATGAAGTTTGAGGCAGTTTTTCATCATGTATGGTAATTTTTTTAGTGAAACTTTGGAGATATCTACCTCCCTAACTACACACACACACACACACATATATATATATGCGAGATCTTATCACGACTTGTTGTGGCTGTTGCTATGGTAACAGAACTAAAGTATGCAGAGTGAAGTTGCTCTGCAGAGACTAACATTGAACTCTTTTGTGCAAACACACAAGGTTATAATGTTCTCACTCATTCACTAGTGTTTATAGCAGTGTTTGGAAGGAAAGTGTGTAGAGTGTGTGTCGTTTCACCAAACCATAGAAGTTCCATCAGTGACCATGGCTTGTACATGAGTTTTCACCAAGCAGTGCATACTTCCCCAAATCAGAATGCTTGAGACATTTTCCTTTTCAAAAATCAAATCTCACTTGAAAGGGATAAGTTTCCATAATGTCAAGGAAATCCAAGAGAACCTTCTCACTCAGATTTTACAAGGATTTGAAACTGACAACTGAAACACAACTATCACAGATATAACTTTGGTCATGTGTATTTATATGCAATAGTTAGCTTAGTCTGGTACAAGGCTGCAATAATTGTCCAACTACTTAGTACTAAATATGCTTGTAATATTAGGTAAGTCTCATTTGTCTACCATTGCTCAATTGTAACAACTGTTCTATCTCAGTGCAAGTTAATGTCTTTGCAATGATTTACCACT